TTGATACTCTCTGTTTTATTCTTTTTCTTTAGGTCTTTTAGTGTACAGACTAAAAGATTTATTCAAATAAACGTTTAATACCAACCTGTCTATTAATAAACCAGTTATTGTTTTCAAGTAGAGTTATGAAACAAATTATGCGGGAAACAACCGTTACTGTCTCCAGTTTGCAAAAAGACATTCAGAAGAGTTGTTGTTTTTGCCTCTCCTAAAGTGTGTGACAACGACCAATAAAACCGGGTAAGGAGGTACGTCAGAAAGAGATCTCGTCACTACAAAACCCCCGACAGCCTGACCCGTGTGCCTGGAAAGTTGAGGAGGTTTCTAAAGATACCCAACCTAGACCTCTACCGATCCGGTGTAGTCCTGAACTTACGAGAATGGCTTCGGTCGAGGGAAGCAACGGCCCCGCCGAAAACTCCTGCAACTTTCAGGCACACGGGTCTGTCGCACAATACTCTTGTCAGTGACGTAGAGTTACACTCACTTCTACGACTTGATCGCTACCTCCTTGTCTGTATCCCGAAGAGGTTAGATATGACGGGAATCCCTACCTTCCTCCAAAACGTGAGTTTTAGAGTGCTATCTAACTGTTGTGACACAGGGGTAAGAAGGAAGGAAATGTGCCTAGTCAGCAGGACCAGGGAAACGTCTTTTTGTCGGGTTTCGTACACTACAAAGGGGGGGTACAAAGTGTCATCCCACAAGAAACCGACGTTGAGTCCGTAAGAAAGATGGAGGTTTGTGCAGATACAAACTCAAAAATGGTTTTTCCAAGATAAACCAAAAAGTAGACTGGTATACTGTAAGAGGGTTAGGAGAAGACCTAGTAGATTTAACGAGAAGATAAAAAAAGAACACAACATTTGCAAACGGAGACAGTACGGTTGTTTCAACCCAATATATTGACAAACTCTACTGAAAACAATCGTTTGAGACTCGGTTACCTTCGAGGAATACGCAGAGGTGGTATTTAAACGTTTATATATGAGAACCTGATAACACATCTCCCTTGTTGCTAAGGACTCGTGACCGTGCGTATACACTAAAAGACTCTGCATTTAAAATTACAGGCAACTCTCATCTTTTTAAGTGGGAGAACCTGCACAATTGGTGGCTGACTAAATACTTTTTTGCCCCACTGTATATCTATCCACCATATCTTTACATTGCCCATAGTTCTTTTCTGTAGGGCTGCACGGTTTAAAAAAAAAAACTCATTTCAATTATTTCGACTGATATCGCAATAGGATTTTCAATATTAGGCAATAAAAACATCATAGCTAAACCCCTTCAGTAAAACAAGGTAGTCAGGCTTTTTAATGCCACACGTGCTTCATTCCTAAATGGCTCTACCTTGTTCCGCCTCCGTCTATGGTCAGGACCCGTATTCCTCTGCCTTTGACTGGTTCGGCGTAGCCAATCAGAGCCAGAGCTTCTCTCACAGCAGCCTGAAGGGGGAGGTCTCTAGCCTGCCTCAGTCTCAGCAGGCAAGGCAGCACGCTCTCCTAAGAAGGTCAACATTTCTCAACACTTGATGACTGTGCAAACACATCAGACATGTAACAGAGCTGCATGGTTGTGATGGTGATACACACTCACCTTGATGGCAACACCTCTTGTCTCGGGGAACTCCAGGATGTGAAGGCTGAGCTCCTCCACTCGACTGGTGAGGAGCTTGACATCATTCACTCTCTGCAGGCCTTTCACCAGAGACCGGGTCTGGTTGTCTACACTCACCCTGGCTATTATCTGCAAGACAAATACACACCATGCTTACTTACTTGTTTTTATTGTGCATTTTTAACCTAGCGATTCATATCACATCAATGAAAACCATAGAAGTAATTGAGATTGACTTAAGAATTCACTGCTCATTAGTGGCACGTATCCCCTTACCTTCTCTCTTTGAATTAACCGCTGTTGCTTAACTTTCTCCTCTTCACTGTCTGCTTTCTTTGCTGCTTTGTCCACAGTTGGCTCTACAACAGCGACTGCTGAAGGCTTGTCTTTTGGAGCTGCAATGCTTTTGGAATCACCTCTGAACTTTGGGACCAGGGGTGCGATGTAGCTGCCGACGAACGCCTGAACGCTGGGCCGAGGGTAGGAGAGGTAGTGGGTGAAGCCTTTTTTAGTGGAGGCAGCGGGCACAGGGATGGACTGAGCTTCACTTTCAGTCGCAGGGATGGCGGGGGAGGACGTCCCCGCTGGAGGAATGAGCATGTCTGAGGGAGATGGAGAGGTGGTGGGTGCTTCAATACTTTTAGCCACTGGAGACAAAATAGGAATGTGGTCCTTAGTTGTAAGAGCGCTGAGAGTGGGCTCTGAAACAGGATCACCCCCTTCTCTGCTCTGCTGCAGAGGCCTGTTGTCTACTTCTTCCTTTGGCGCACTGGTGCCAAAGTAAGTATTGATGTGCAGAGCCAGAGTTGTGTACGTCTCATCCATGTTACTAGACAGAGCTGCTGGGTGAAACAGCTGTGATGTGTGTGTTGCCACAGAAGAGGAAGAGCTTAATCCTGACGTGGACTTCTTTGTGGCAACAAAAGGATTTTCTGTATCTTGCTGCTGCTGCTGCTGCTTGTCTGGCTCTTCCTCAGCTGTTTTGCTCTCGCCTTCTGCTGCTTCTTTCATGGTGGTTTCAGGTGCTGTGTTGTTAGAGGACGAGGCCTCGGCTTTGGTCAGAACTTTTTCCACATGGGTGCTGCTGTCCACTGAGGCACTGCCAGGCTTGAAGCGGGAGAACTTGGAGATGAGGTCAGTGCTGCCTACTGCCTTGGTGACACTGTCCAATGTGGTCCTGATTCGCGACATGCGTTTGCTCACTGGGAACAGAAGTGGAGAACTAAGGCTTTATCAGGCAACTGGATTATTCTGTTTTAAAATGATGCTGCATTCTGGCACACTTCCTGCCATCAGCTACAGTGGTTTAGTAGACATTCCATTGTAGAGGGAAATAGGTAATTTCACAGCTTGTTCCGTCTCCTGGAGAAAAAAAAAGGATAATTTTAAACACGTTTTTATAGGAGCAAACTTAACTAGACGACAACTGGAAAGTCGGCCAACAGAGGGCTCCATTTGCCATGCCTAGATTGTATACCTCCTGGGTTTTAGGCGGCGGAAGTGACGTAATCGTGGATGAGAAGTCGGCCACTTTTGCAGCAACTGACTGCATATCTGGTAGTAAAAGTAGACACATTTAATTTAATTTTGCATGGGCTCTTCGTGACTCTAGAGCACTGCAGGAATCACACTCCTAAAAAATCTCTCCTTTTTTTTTTTTTTTTAATAAATAAATCTCGTACTGTGTGTGTCACTGTAAACCGAAATCCCATCTGTGCTTTCCTGTATGATGTAATTTTTTTAAATATTGGTAATAGCCTGCTGTCTTCCAAAGTTATGAATTCTCAAAATATTATATTTATGATATTTTTGTGGGGAAATTATGTATTCATGTTCGTCTCTTGTCCTGGGTGGCAGGCTACGTCACTTCTGCCTACAACCCAGGATCTAGCACTAACCCATTTGCCACCCTACCCAACCTGGTAACCAAGGAAACTGTTGTTACAGCAACCAAAACAGATACTGTAAACAGCTTTCAAAAACTAACAACTCAAATCCTCTAGATCCCAGCAAGAGAACATGGAAGAGGGACAACATCCAACACTAAAGATGAATTTAACAACAGAGTCAGCTCAACTTGTGAAGACTTTGCTGGACAAACAGCGCCACCCAGTCTCTCCTGACTCTCCTCCCAGTGAGATGAAGACTATAACCTGGGTTGCTATCAGAGACTTTACAGTGGAAGAGGGGAAAAGGCAGATTGAGGAGTACATTCAGACCTGGGAGCTGCTGCCCTGCTGGCTCCACAGCCTGGACTTCCTCTGCTCCACCGAGAAGGAACATAACACCTTCTACCACTACCGGGCCCGCTTCAGTACCACGACCTGGAAGAAGCCTATTCAGGGGACAGCTAGCGTGTATTTCGTGGTGTACATCCCTAAAGTTAGACCCAACACTCTGCCCGTGGAGGTGCACTTTGCGGTGGAGTCAAACCGGCTGATGCACACCCCCGGGAGGACCAGGTTCAGAGAGGGGTGGCTGGTGGATGTCATTGATAGCAAGACCCTGCTCCGAAAAGTGGTCAACCTTTGAACCAACAGCCGAGAAAGTGACAATGTGTGGGTCATTCCCAAAGCGAACGGTATATCCAACGGGCTAACTGCTAGCATTTAACTTGCAAGATATTGCTTTGAACTCTTATTCGCCCAAAATGAGAAACGTTATAAACCCACTTTGATATTATTATCATTTACGATGTCTTTATTTACTGTTTATTACATCTGTATTTACCTTATATGCTTCTAAATATGCACCTTATACAAAGATATGTGTACATTACAAAATGTATGTGAATTCATTGAAAACAATGTAGGCTATGTGAATTCATTGAAAACACTTCAATACTCTTTCTAATCCTCTTATCTAAAAGCTGAATGAAAGTAAGGAGAGACAATACACACCAACTGTTAGCTAACTAGCCTAGTTACCTACCCGTTTTTCCTCTAATTTATCTCATACGTGCACGTTTTGTTGGACTTCAACTATGACTGTAACGTTAGCTACCGTTAAGATAACACTAGCTTTAGATAACGTTAAAGCAAAGAACGAAACTGTTTGTGTTTGATAGCAAGCCCGACATTTTCAAAGGAAAAACACGTAATGTTTAAACTTCAAAGCTAGTGTTAGCTTGCCTAGCACACACATGAAACCGTTAGCCTAACGTTAGCCTTTTAATATTATAATTATAAAGCACACAATTAAACAGTTTATCTTACCATGAGAAACAGATGCCGTTAAATATATGTCCAACGTATTTCTTTCAGTTAGATGCTGGTATAACACATGTAGTTGTGTTTATGTTAAATGGAAAAGATAAACAGGAAGAAGAGAGGAAGTGACGCAGTTCCCTATACGTTTTCAGTGCCATGCCTTGTATATGCCACTAGGTGTCGACAAAGCCTCCATGGAATAAAAACGATTTCACTGCAACACAAGTTTTAATCATAGACTGGTTTAAATACAAATTTAAGATACAAAGAATCCACAGCAACGTTTATAATTTAAAGATTAAGACAGAGTTGTACTTGCAGAGTAAACTTGATTGTTCTCAAGGAGACATTTGTATTCGGCAAAGTGCTATTGTCCGTTGTTTTGTTTCTTTATGCAGGAAAACATCACAAAAAACCCACACAAAAAACACAAGGGGAACATAGATACATTTGCCATGGACAAGAAGGAAGCTTAGAAGTAAAGTGCTCATGTTTGCTGTACTGCATTAAGATGTAACTTTTGGGTTCAGCAGCTTAACGGAGGCTGAAACCAATGATAGCTTCAAGGTTTAATTATGCACTCAGGCACACAAACTTTGAACTGATGGAAGTCCTAGTATTTAGAGAATAGGGGATGTTGAGAGTTCCATGACTATTTTCTCACACAGGCTCTCTATGGGTTCCTAATCTTCCTCCTATTACCCTCATCTGCTTTTAAGTCTGTATCTAATGATGCTCTCTCTGATCAGGCGGCTCACTCCATACAGCCGCAATCCCCTTCGGTTTGTGGTTTAGAGAAACATCTCTTGTTCGAAATGCATCTTGAAGACCTATATTTGAGTTATAAAAATCCAACGTTTTATTAATAACTAATGGCTCTTTCTCAAATAACATGTATGCACATGAATCAACTCCTTTTGTTCATAATGGCCTTCAGGTCAAAATAATTCAAAAGCTGATGTAGTAGTGCTTTATGACTCAAGCCGATGTTCCTGTTGATAATGATAATGATATATCTACAATCTGACCGGGAAGCAGAAAAACGACTGTCATGGTAAAGGTTAACAAGCATCATGTGGAGATGCCTTTTCAAAAGCATCTTGAGTAGCATTTTTACACCACACATACAGAGCCCAAGGTACATTAAGAGCTCGTGTAAAGGACAAACAGCTGGGGTCCACAGGCAGCAGAAAATAAAGGGCATGATGGAGGCTGGATAATGGATACTGAAATACAAAAATTGTTTTCTGATTCATGCCCATGAACATGGGGTTGTTGTAACCATGTAGTGGAGCTTTCGAGGAGTGATTCCCAACCACTTACGGTATATACAACCTTTTTCCTATACCGTTTTTATAGTTTCATATTTTATTGATGTTAATTTTTATATTTTATTTTATTTCCTTTTTATCACCACTGTAAAATGTCTTTGAGCACCTGAAAAAGCACATAGAAATAAAATGTATTATTATTATTATTATGTTTAATATTTTCTCCAGTGTAACAAAAGCCAAGGAGAAAAACAAATAAACTGCTCAACTGACACAACACAAATAACTCTGTTGGATTTGTTATGTTGTTTTTTTTTAACGTAGGTTTTTATAATAGTTTGTGTTTTACTTGGTTGTTTTTCTTACTTTGAATCTTCTTAAACTGCACCAGGGGAAATTCCTCGTATGTGTAATCCTATTTAATCCTGTTTCTGATTTGGTACATTCTAGTCTTATTTCATATGTTGATTGATCGATTGATAGGTTACATTTTATTTCGAACAAGTAAAATGAATAATTACAAAAACAAAACAAATGTTGCAGTGCATAGTCATGTAAGACAAATCAAAACAAAAAATGACATTTACAACATATGTTCGTTTGTGTATAAACTAGGGCTGTCAAACGATTAACATTTTTAATCAGATTAATCACAGTTTAAAAATTAATTAATCATGATTAATCACCATTCGAACTATGTCCAAAATATGCCATGTCTTTATGTATATTGTTATGGGAATGGAAAGATAAATGATAGAAGGCGAATATATCCATTTAACATACAGTAGTATGTATATGTATGTTTATTAGAACATTGTTCTGTGTGTCAAAATGAAAGACATCCCACACACCTATCAATCATCAAACCGTGGGGTCTTATTTCATTACGTGTGGATTTCTATCAACAAGTAATGTTGTATCGATGTATACCTGTATAGAGATGTACTACAGCAAAAGTATTCTCCGTCAGGACTTCCTGCGACAACACCACGCCGTTATCGTGATTCTGATTGGCCAGAAGCAGGGCCGTGGGAAGTAGGGGTGCTGAGGGTGCTGCAGCACCCCCTGGTGGAGGACAGGGGATCTGCACTTCAAGATATAATTTTTTAAAAAAACGAATTTTCAGCCTTGATGTAACAACATTCATAATTAAGTAAAGATAACACCCTTTTCCCCGGTTACATTTTCCATTTGCCCTGTACGATGGGCGCTGTGAGTGATGAAGTGGGGGATGTTGGCTTAGCAGGCGCCCGCAGCTCACAGCCAAAGTGAGAGAGATAGAGAGAGGGGATACCGCGGTACCGGCGGGGATTGTTGTTAG